TTTTCTTTTATATTTAAAGTTCTTCTGGCCATTTACAGAACTTATTAATTTTCATTCAGTTTGCGAAATTTAGTGACTGTGTCAAGGAGTTTGAATTCAGTGGTTTTTTTTTGTTTGTTTTCTGGAGGTGATCTGTAGATTCTCTGTATTGGTGCTTTGTTGTTTAAATTCAGGAGTTATCCTCCTGCATCTAGTTTTCAAGGGTAATCACTTTGGTTTGTATAGAATGTATATAGTCTTTTAGTATTATCATCTTTTACTTCTTTGATGCCGTGCTTTTTCTACATTAGAGTTCTTTTTTTTTTTTTTGAGGTCGACTTCCTGCCCTCAAAAGGCTTGTATTATTATTTAAAATAATCTTTTATTTTTTTCCCCAGTAACATGTCAAGAAAATTTTTAGCATTCATTTTTACAAGATTTTGCATTCCAAATTTTTCTCACTCCCTCCCTTACTTTCACTTTTCTGAAAATGGTAGGCAGTTTGATATAGTTTATACCTGTGCTATCATGTAAAAATTATTTTCATATTAGTTGTGAAAGAAGAAACAGATTAAAAAAAACATGAGAAAGAGTAATGTAAGTGAAAAAAAATGCTTTGTTCTGCATTGATTCCATCAGTTCTTTATCTGGATATGAATAGAGTTTTCCTTCATGAATCCTTTTATTCGTCTTGGATCACTGTGTTGCTGAGAAGAGCTGAGTCTTTCATAGATACCTTCACACAATGTTGCTGATGTTGTATACAATGTTTTCCTGGTTCTGCTCATTTTGTTTTGCATCAGTTTGTACAGATCTTTCCAGGATTTTCTGAAATCTGCCTGTTCATCATTTCTTATTGCACAATAGCATTCCATTGCATTCGTGTACCACACCTTGTTCAGGCATTCCCCAATTGATGAGTATCCGTTCAGTTTCCAGTATTTTGTCACCACGAAAAGGGCTGCTATAAATATTTTTGCCTGTGTAGGTCCTTTTCCCTTTTTTATGCTCTCTTTGGGATACATACCTGGAAGTAGTGTTGCTGGATCAAAGGGTATGCACAGTTTGGTTGCCCTTTTGGCATAGTTTAAAATTTTTCTCTAGAATGGTTGGATCAGTTCACAACTCCAACAGCTGTGCCCAACAATTTTTCCACATCCTCTCCAACACTTATCATTTTCCTTTTTTGTCATTTTAGCCAGTCTGATAGGTGTGAGTGTTTTAATTTGCATTTCTCTAATCAAGTGATTTAGAGCATTTTTTCATACACACACACACACACATACACATATATATACATATATATATACACACACACACATATATATATATATATATATAGCTTTGAATTCTTCTGAAAACTGCTTGTTGATATCCTTTGACCATTTATCAATTGGGGAATGGCTTGTATTCTTATCAATTTGACTCAGTTCTGTATATATTTTAGAAGTGAGGTCTTTATGAGAGGCACTTGCTGTAAAGATTACTTCCCAGCTTTCTGCTTTTCTCCTACATTAGTGTTCTTGTGTTTTAAGTTTGTCACCACCCCTTAGATTGTCATTTTGGCTTCCAGCCTATCCCTCACAGCCATCATCTGGGGAAGAAGCTTCTGTGTAAAAAGAACCAGCTATCTCTACCAATTATCCACAAATTGCTACAGAGAGGGCAAGCAAACCAGTGTAGTTCAAGTAGGAAGTCACTCTAAGGGAGAGACAACAGAAATGTTCAGGCAAGTCATTCTACCACCACCACCATCATCACATTGACAGTGGTCTCCTCTCAGAACCTGATGGGCATAGCCCAGGGTCCTGACCCCAAGAACTTTGAAAAGTAAAAGGCTTTTAGCCCAGTCCTCTCAATCATTATTCTGGGAAGCAACCCTTGAGTCAATGCAGCCAGGCAACTACACCTGGAAATGTTAAATCTGAGGCTACTGAAGACTCAGATGTGAAAGTTCTTGTCACCAAAGTCCTTGGTACTATCAAATGGTTCAATATATAAAATTGATATGATATTACAGTGGATATGACATATAAGGAAGAGGCATTACCGTATGATTTGCTGTTGTTCCCTAAAGAATATGGAACTTTCCATCTGACTTGCAACTGAAACCTTCTGTGTTTTGTCTCCTCCATTAGAGTATGAGGTCCTTGAGAGCAAGGATGATCATACTTTTCTTTTTGTATCCCTTGTGTGTAGTACAGTATTTTACACATATAAAACACTTAAAAATACCTTTATTCATTAATTAAAATCTGTTAATGTCTCTTATTGCTTGAGAGAGAGTCTACATCATGAGTTCAGTTTTTATGAATTTGTTAATCAAGGTGTCTTTTTTTTTTTTTTGGTGAAGCAATTGGGGTTAATTGCCCAGGATCACACAGCTAGTAAGTGTCAAGTGTCTTGTCTGAGACTGGATTTGAACTCAGGTCTTCCTGACTCCAGGGCCAGTATTCTATCCACTCTACCACCTAGCTGCCCCTAATTGTGTTTTTTAAAAGCTATATTGAGACATCTAAATTCTGACTTAAAACTCTTAATTTCTTTCTTAATGAATTTCATTTCTCTTTTAGAACATTCTGGAATTTCTTGTTGTTGAGTCATACTCTCTGAAAGTCCATTGAATTTGCTATTTCTTTTAAAATTGGTCTGCTTTTTTCCCCCCCACATGTAATGTTTATTAAGGGAGCTTTGTATTCTCTTTGAGGATTTAGTACTCATTCTCCTGTCTGGTTTTAATTTCTTTGTTGATTCATTTGTTTGTTATTAGGAGGTTTTCTTTTGAAATATTTGGTGTTTTAACTTCTTAAAAATATCTTCCGGGGGCAGCCAGGTGGTATAGTAGATAGAACTCTGGCCTTGGAGTCAGGAAGACCTGAGTTCAAATCTGGCCTCAGTCACTTGACACTTACTAGCTGTGTGATCCTGGGCAAGTCACTTAACCCCTACTGCCTCAGCAAAAAAAAAACCAAAAACACACATACACACACATATGTATGTACATCTCTTTCACTTTTGCGGAAGTTGGGTAGCCTCTTTACATGTTTGAGGATATAAGGTTAATTTCCCTAGATCCTTACCTTGAGAGCCCTCTGTGGGAAATGATACTAGTCACTACTGGTTTTCAATATTCTTTCCTTCTGGTCTGGAACAGCCATGCATGTCACCTCAACCTCAATTTTTTGTTCCTCCTTTCTTTCTAATGGATGGGCAGAATCAATTTTTGTCAGTTCTTGAAGGGTGGGACAAAGGAAAAGTCTGTGCCACTGGTGTCTCTGCAGTGGGTTGTGGGGGCATGTGTCTGGTCCTTGTCAGAATGGAACATGTCTTCAACTCTCCTGTCTCCCCCTTTTTCTAGACATAGTTGTATGGATTGGCACAAGGAAAGATGTGCCAGCAGTGTCTGTAGTCTTAGGCATCCTCCAGTGGCCCCCCTGAATGTCTTTGATCTAATTGTGTCCCTTCCAGGGAATGTGGAATCTTGTGGGGGAGGGCTGCTGATTCAGCCCTTTAAAGATTAGACTTCTTTGGTTTTAATTCATAAAGATTTTACCTTTTTGATATTATCTTTTCTTTGATCTTTGGATTTAGCTATCATTTTTCTACATATGTCACATAATTCCTCTTTTTTTGGGGGGGGCTAGAGAGTTAAAGGGACATGGGGAAAGTGGCTACTTTGCTATCTTGCTGGTCTTGTAATCCCAAAAACCTACCAGTGTTATCGTTGTTGTAGTTGTTAGCATACCATGATGTTCATTAGTAATATGTTTACATTGCAACAAGAAAATCTGTGATATAAACTATATAAATATATTTAGGGAAATCTTTTTAAATATGATGCTGATAAAGATTATTATCTACAAGTGTGATTATGAGTGACTGTATTAATGTCTTTCTGTTCCTTTTTTGCTTTATGCTTTGGTTTTAAAGTCACTACCTCTATTTATAAATGATATAGCCATCAGTTGTGGTGCTGTCCCTTTATATGTCCCTATATCTGACTCAGTTTATCCGTTCTTCCTACAGTGGGGAGGTGATAAAATAAATAGTACTTCTTTTTTTTTCTTTTTTTTTAATAGTACTTCTTATAGAGGTACATGTCATCTAGTTTGGTGACATATACCCCAATAACTATGGTAATAAACACAGTGTTTACAAGACAACATACTGTGTCACATTATTTGGAGGATAGGGTATATAATTGAGAAATTGTGGATTTTGAAGAATAAGAAGAATTTGTCAGGTAAATCATAGATTTAGAACTAGAAGAGATCATAGAGGTTATCCAAACCCATTTTTTTTTTCATTTTTTAAATGAGGAATTGCAACTTAGAGATGTTAAGTAATTTGGCAAAGGTTGTGCAGATGGTAAAAGGTGGAGCTATTTACACTAAATCCAGCCCTCTTTCCACAGTCCCATGCCACACATTGGAGAGGGGAAGCAGGGGGAGATAACGGCATAAGCATAGGCACCCAGATATGGGAACACAAGGTGTGCAGAGGAGCAAGAATCCTTATTGTCTGGAGAGTGGTCTCCATGGAATGGAATTGTGTGGGAAAAAAACAGGAAGGACAAAGGGATGCCATAAATCACTTCTTCATTAATATGTCAAGCTCTTTTTCTGATGGCTGCCTGCTGTGTTGTTTTTTGTTTTTTGTTTTTTGTTTTTTCCTTTCTTTTTTGCTATGATTTCCCAGTGGTCCATAGCGCTGCTGCACTGCTTGAAGCCTTGTTCTCGTGTGGAACATGGCTGGAATACTTTGTGCCTTCATGAAATTCATGACTTTGTAGGGACAGACTGGAGTAGGTTCATTTAAAGGTCATAAATAAATATTGTTTAACGTGTAAAAGTATTTGTGTTTTCAATAGGGTACATATGAGCCTATTCATGAATGACTTTTGAAGTCACCTTAAGGTATATTTTATAGTTCTTGATACTTAGAGTTGACAATGATCCCCCTGCAAATGGCATATTTGGGTTTTTCACCTTTTCTTTTTGTGTGTTGTGTTTATCCCACAGGACCCCTGAAGATCTCTCCAACTACATTGTGTCCCTGCAACAGAGGGAGATTGAGTTGACAGAAAAGAGCACCGCCAGCACAAGCAGGTAGGGGTAACAGGATGAATTGCCACGAGCTTGACACTCTCCCTCCAAGATATTGTCATGGATTTATTGAAAGGAAGGTTGTCCTCTTTCCATCTTAGGGCTAACCAAAATTTGTGCTTTTACAGGACCGTACTCTTGCTTTTACTCTGCCTCTTAATTTGGTGTGTGGAACAAATGCTATCAATGAGGTTAAAATTTGAAAGAGTTCAGACTGTGGATGCATTGTTCATTGTCCTTTGATGTAAAACCCAAATTTCCAGTGAAAACTACTTGATACCTTAAATTAGTCTGAACAGCTTTCTTGATTTCCCAGTAGTTTTGTCCTCTTATCCTAGATGTCTGATTCCTGCAGTGTGTTTCTCTTTGAGCTGTGTACCAACCAACTCTTTGCAGTAGCATAATTCTCCATCTCTTGTCTTTCATGACATGAGTATTGAGGCTCTTCATGAAAGAGATGTGTTTGTTTAAGAGCTAAAGAAAGCCCAGTAATCATCTTGTCCACAGTTGATCCAGTGATGGGGAGGGAGAGAAAATGCTGAGCTTGGTTGTGCATCATTGATTTTCATGCTACAGCCCCTATCATCCCTGAGAGATGACTTTTCTATAATTTATTAGTAGCTAGAAGGAAGTTTTTAGTTGTGGTAGTGGTAGTGCTGCTGCTGGCTGCAAAAATAAGCATTTAGAATCATCTGGTCACACCAAATGTAATTCCATCCATTTAGTTTTGAAATGTCAAATGACAATCATTGCTTTTTGACTTCTGATGAATTTTCATTGTTGTCAGTGAAATAAAAAGCTTGAACATCTGGACAAATTATTCCATTCATGTACTTTTATTTCAAAACAGACTAGATATTAGTAGAATGGATAATTTTCTGTGTTTTTTCTTCTACCAAACAATGTTTTTCTATTATTTCCCTCTATGGTTTATTTAGACAATATGGAAGTAGGAAGGCAAACCCCTTAAAAGAGTGTGAGAAAAAAGCTGATATTCCCCTTATCAACTCTTTCCTTTGTACCATTGTTGTACTTTAGTTTGATCTAGAACTTCTGTTAGAAGAAGAACTCTAGTCTTTGAGGAAATCCAGTATAGGGGAAAAAGCCTTGGCGTAGGAAGATAGTAATTCTGTCTACAGTACTGCCACTGGTAACTATTGTTTCATGGAAGACTCTTTAACATTTGGACTGCTGTGTTGCCATCTATCAAATGAGAATGAACTTAGACAGTCATAGTCATGTCAGTAAAGTACTTCGAGGGTTTCCAAAGGAAGACATCGTCTGACTAATGCTTTATTACTTAGTAGTAGTTACTTGGAGGCAGATAACTAGGTGGCACGGTAGATGGAATACTGGGCCTGCAGTCAGGAAGACCTGAGTTAAATCCAGCCTTGGATACTTACAAGCTGTGTGATAGCTGTTAGGTGTCATTAACTATTAACTTAGGTGCCATTGCATGGGGACCTAAGAGCAAAAATGAGCACCTCTCTCATTTTACAAAGATGAAAAAATGGAAGCCTACATTGGTGAAATGACTTATCTAGGTCACAGTAGGAAAAATGAGACTCATGCTCTCAGACTTCGAATGCATTGTGCTTGATACTATACCACTGTCCTCCCCAAAGCTTATTGATAAACTGCTACATCATTGGAGAACTGAGTTTTCCTGTGACCTTAGGGAATTACTGGGACTTGGAAATCAGAACCTTTGCTTCTTTGCTAGTACAGTTCTGTTGCCATTGAACTCTACTGCCTGTTTCTCTAAATCTAACCCTTCAGCAGGGGTTTCCCACATCCCCATGACTATGAAATGTCCTCGTGGTTATATTTATCATTTTAATGGGATTTTTTTTTTTGGCCCACAGACTTATTTCTTTTAGCTTTAGCATGATGTCTTATAGGGTATGAATTAGTTTGCTAGGATGATCTATAAATATCCCTTTTGTGTCATGTAATTGATACCTGCCTTCTTTTCTTTATTTTAACAGTATTAAATTTGGGTGGAGCTCTCCCTTTTTTTCTTGCTTGTTTCTTTCATCCAAATGTTTATTTCCTTTTTGCTGAATTGAAGAAGGTATTCTCTAACAAAGCCCATAGTTGCAGTTAAGCAAGGTTCTTAAGAAATAAACTTCTCCGGAAAGGTAGTAGAAGAGAGCAGTCTTGCTATATATTCTTTCTTCTTAACCCTTTCCTCCCCTCCCCTGCCTTCCTCTTCCCCACTTCTGTAGACTGTGCATCATCATCTCTCTACAGACTGTTGCCGTGGAGATTGCTTAGGGCTATCTAGCTAAAGAAGAGAGAAATTCATGCTCCTAATGTCATATTGCTTCACTATGGAATACCTATGCATGCAGATCCGCTCTCTCCATCTTAGCATTTTTCCTTGCTCGACTTGGAAGCTCTTTTTATAATGTTGCCTTTGAGGACTCTTGTAGTCATGCTTCTATATTGTGCTTGTCTCTATATTGACAGCTGCTAACACATAGATTTTCATATATGTGGAGTAATAATACTAAGCTCTAGTAACTTTTCTGATTTAAAACAAAAACAAAAACCAACAACAACATTTTAGTAGTAAAGCTAAGGCTTTGTTTGTATTTTGGAAAATCTTCAAAAGGCAAAAAGATGTATGCTGCTGTTCTTATTGGAAAACAGTGAGATAAAGACAGTGGAAAGTGTCAGGTTTTAAATTTCTTATTCGGTGGTTTAAGTCATTCTCTGTTGCTAGGCCAGTTTATATATGCTGGTTGAGCTATTTGGATCCTTGAATTTTGCTAATGTGTTTTAGACAGAGGTAGAGGGGGAGAGAGATGACTTCTTTCTTTCTTTGCACGTGACAGGAGCAAAAAGAGAAAATGAGTAAAATCAATCTCAGTCTTCTGATTAAAATAGTGGAAAATGCTATTAATAGCACATGATAGATTGCACTGATGTTTGTATTCTGTGGCTATAAGTTGCATAAACAGAGTACCAAGGTGTAGGAGCAACAGGAGATATTGTTGAACCTAGGGAGCAACAGGCAAAAAATGATGATCATCAGTTTTTTGAAAAGGGAGGACAAAGGGGCTGTTCCTTGAACTGTACCTTTGTAGTTTGATGAGACAAGTGTGCAGCTCTACCTTATGGGGTGTGAGAAATTGACATTCCTTTGGAAGACTGCTGAGTACGAAATGAAGAGAGACTAGTTTAATTATCAGTTCTATTAAAATTGCTGCGATTAGCTTCTTCTGAAGATTCTCCCAGGATGTATTCCAAAACAGTGACCTAACATCTTAATAGCTTATCAGTTCCCTACTTATTTGCATTCTTTGTTTTGAGGATCAGTTTTCATGGCCATGACTTGGGTTTATTTACACCTCTAGCCCAGAGAGGTTAAGTTAATTTATGGTGTCGCTGCTAACAGGTATCTGAGACAGGTAAGATCTTCTTGATTCCATATCTAGTGTTCTGTCTCCCATGTTCACTAACTGGAGTCTGTCTTTTTGTCCACGAAAGTGTCTATATGCTGCCATTAAAATCGTTAAAAAAAAAAGACATAAAAGAAACAGGGAGATATATGAAATGCCATTAATGTATATTCGTATTAATAATGTGACCCAAATGGAAAGAAGGTCGAGGATGAGATAGCATCAAGTTAATTCCATTGAGTGAACACTAGATTTCTTTTCATCTTGAGGTTGTCTAAAGCCTTTACAACACATGTGATCTTTCATTTTGTTAGTTCAGGGTGGTAGTGGACAGAGTAAGACACTGAAGGAAATAAAAGAAAAGAAGTAGCTAGTTTTGACTCTTTTGAGTAATTTCTGCATTTTTCCCGACATTGCTATGTATTCTTTCCATAGAATAAAACTGTTTAATCCTGGATATGCTCAATGTGTCCCCCTCAAATTGTTCTCCAAAAAATCAGAACCACCTTGTTATTAATTTTGTTTTTTTGCTGAAGGTCAGAAAGCAAATAAAAATAAAACTACTGATTACATTCTTATAAATCTCTTAGGTACAACAGAAGCAAGAATTACAGATTGACATTAAAACTACTGGCTAAGAAATAAGAGTGGTGGATCAGTGGAATAGGTTAGGTACACAAGAGACAGTAGTAAATGATTATAGTAATCTGTTGTTTGATAAACCCAAAGACTCCAGCTTTTGGGATAAGAACTCACTATTTGACAAAAACTACTGGGAAAACTAGAAAATAGTATTGCAGAAACTAGGCATAGACCAACATCTCATACCCTGTACCAAGATAAGGTCAAAATGGATACAGGATTTAGACTTAAGGGATGATACCATAAGGATATTAGGAGAGCAAGGAATAGTTTACCTGTCAGACTTATGGAGAACAGAAAAATTTATAACCAAACAAGAGATAGATAACGTTATAAAATGCATAATGGATAATTTTCATTACATTAAATTAAAAAAGTTTTTGCACAAACAAAATCAATGCAACCAAGATTAGAAAGAAAGCAGAAAGTTGGGAAACAATCTTCACAGCAAGTGTCTCTGATAAAGGCCTCATTTCTAAAATATATAGAAAACTAAGTCAAATTTATAAGAATACAAGTCATTCCCCAGTTGATAAATGATCAAAGGATATGAACAGGCAGTTTTCAGATGAAGAAATTAAAGCTCTCTAAAGTCATATGAAAAAATGCTCTAAATTACTATTGATGAGAGAAATGCAAATTAAAACAAGTCTGAGCTACTACCTCATACTTATCAGATTGATAAATGTTGGAGAAGATGTGGGAAAATTGGAACACTAATGCATTGTTGGTGGAATTGTGAACTGATCCATCCATTCTGGAGAGCACTTTGGAACTATGCCCAAAGGGCAGCCAAACTCTGCATACCCTTTGACCCAGGAATACCACTTCTAGGTCTGTATCCCAAAGAGAACATAAAAATGGGGAAAGAACCCACATGTACAAAAATACTTAACAACAACTCTTTTTGTGGTAGCAGAGAATTGGAAATTGAGGGGATGCCCATCAATTGGG